TGCACATGCTAATCCGATTCAGCAATGATGAATCCCATCCAGGCTTGATGGCAAAGAGAGAGTTATTCACAGTAGCAGCAGGTATGCCCCTGGAGAGAGAGACCATTATGCACGCGTGAGAACTCATTAAAGCGCGATCATTTCAACGGTACACGTACAATATTATCGAGAGCGCATAAATTCAGCCACGCGTGGTATATCAGCAAAAAACGACGCCGGCATTCAGAACCCGCCCGCCAGTCGTAAAAATGACGCGTGTGACTCCGATATTTTTTTCATATCTTTTTAATGGCAACGGTATAACTGCGAGCATGACGAAGCCAGTTGGAAAAAAGGGAAACACTTGTGATAAGCGATAAAAAAAAACTCTATATTATCATGTTTGAATTTGAATTTTTTTATTTTAATGAGACATCATGTTGACTTTATTATGAATTTTAACATTTAGATGCACACTAATTGTAAGTGAATTCATTGGACAGCATCACAACAAGAAAAGAAATTTACTAATACATAATTATTTACAGACTAATGTTGTGAATGTAGGAAAAATATTGTATATAATTTCATAAAAAATATGTGGCATATTTGTTCAAAAATAAATTATATTTAATATTATTCACCATAACAAAAATGTAATGAAATTTCTAATAATAATAAAAAAAATATTTATCTTCAAAGGTTTAAAATGTAATAAAATTTTAATTAAAATATCTTAGTACCTTTATCAATAGAAAGTTGGCGATAAAAATTGTAATACCGTTCAAAATCTTTGCTTGAGATGAAATAGCAAATAAAAAGAGCGAATAGGTTTTGCAAAGATTGTCCATTCTCTGAATGTTGCTGGACCGACGTCTGGCAAATCCGTTCTTTCCAGCATGCAAAAACGTAATGGTGGTGCATGAAAATTGCTTGCGTCGCCACTTTCGCCAGATTACCGGCGGCAGTGGAACGAACGGTCCAGATCATCCATCAGCGCATCTTTCCGCGGTTACGGCTCATGTCACTTTTTGCTCGCGACTTCTTTTACTTTTACGAGAAAATGCAAAATTTCCATACGGTCATCAAACAAATGGAGACTTTTTAAGTTCTTTCCGGGTACTAAAATTTGTTTTTAACTTTTTGCCCGATATCAAGTTTTTGGGCACGCAACGTTGCATTCGACTCTAGATGAATGAACCGCCTTCTCTTCGTTATTTCTCCACCTGTCGCGTGCTTCATTTCTCTCTCGCGCGCCCACTAACGATATTAATTGAGCAGATTTGTAGGTGGCCCAGCAGCCAGCGTGCTGAATTTTTCACCTTGCACGCTCTCGCCTCACGAATTAACAGCAGTCGGTCGACTCGACTTGTTGCTTGCTTGACCACCCTGCCTAATTTGAATATTTATGCTGTTGTGGGCGGCAGCTGACGGCCACTTGGTTGTTTTGTAAAATTATATGCAACAAGGCATTCGAAATGAAAAAAATACGTGACGATAATTTGTTTGATCAGTCATTAAAAAATTAAACAATTATTAGAGTACAAAAGTAGAAAAATTACCATAGTCATATTAAAGTAAGATTCCTGAGAAAACTCTCATTTTAATAGTTTCATTGAAATCTTTAAAGATAACAACATGAAGTTTCATGAATAGATGTCATTTATGTTACCCTGGGAAATATGTATATTTATTTTATTTTTGAAAGAGGAGGTTAGGGCAAATTTCTTTCGTGTGACCCAAATAATCCCAACAAATAATTCAGTTCAGAAAAAAGTGAGTGAAAAAAAAAATTTGACTTTTGGCACTGGAAAAAATACATAAAGGTAAATTCAGCAAAAAGACCTTTAGTTTTGCTCCAAAAGTTGCGAACTCCCTATTTTAAAAAGGGTTAAAGGGAATATTGCATTTTTGTTAAAAATGAAACAGTAAAATTTCAAGTAATATATTCAAATTTATCTTTTCTTGAAATTGGTTAGAGTCAGTTAGAGTTCATTGAAAATTGGCAAAATTTCAATAAAATATTTCAACGAAAGGCCATCTAAATTAAATGTTGCTATATTTTTAAAACTGATTTAAAAAAATGGAAGACAAAAAATTTTAGTTTTGTCTAAATATAAGTTTGTTTTATTTTACGAAAAATAACGTTGGAATCGAAAATAAATTTAGCTAACATATTTTAAAATTAAGGATTTTATTTAAAAAAATATGGATGATTTTCACAGCCGCTCTTCTTAAAAAAATTATTTGCACTCGCTTCGTTGTTTTGATATCCAGTTTCACTTTCTCTGTGTATTATTTCAATTATTTCAGTGAAAATTGCCTTGCTGCTTTTGTTCAGCGGCTGTTAATTAAGCGTTTGTATTTAATTTGTCGGAAAACTGACAATGAGAGGTTGAACACACGGTCGGACTTGAATGCCCGGCCGGGCGAGCACATTCACGCTCTTTGTAATTCAAACCGAAACGCAACTTGTTCGTTTGATCAAAGTGAAAGCAGCCCATTCAAATGAGCGCGCGCGTCAACGTACGACCATGATTACCGTTTCAATTTACCAATTTCACCTTGATCAGAAATCCATAGCCGAAATTTACGGCGCGTAATCAACCGGTTTGAATTATTCATGAAGTCGGCCCGAAACAACGAAATAATAATAATTCGTCAGCAGGGAAAATAAAAACGTACCAGGGTCCCGACACAAAAGCGGTCCCTCTGGTCCCGGCGAAATCAATGAGGAAATTAAGAATACAGCGATGTCATGATTACAAGGCTCAATAAAAATCTCGTAAAAACCCTTGGGACGCTTGCCAACAAGATGCTCTTTCTTTCTCGCTCTCCCAATTCCGAAAGGGAAAAGGATACCCTCTTGAACAGCAAGGTCAAACTTCTCTCTCCTGATTTTCATATCAGCAAAAAATCAGTTGATCGAACTGTTTGTTCGGCGCACATCAAACATTCATCTAAACTCAATCAAGCGACTACCCCCATCGATCGCTCACCCCTGGCTGCAGGGATCTGCCAGAGACGTGTCACCTGATTGGATGTAGCGCCCTACTTTGACGCAAAATAGCACCTAGTTAATTTTGCGCGCTCCGGCTAGTTTCACGCTACGCAATTTGCACCGGAATAATTATGTTGCGGTTCAGTGAAATGATTGTAAGTAATTATAAGGGTGGTTCAAATTGATGCCTATAGTTAGCCGTCAGGGATAATGGCTTGGTTAAAGGGTTGGCACAATAAGCAATTATTTTGACCGTTAGCTTTATTGATTTGATATATTATTGTACATACTTTTAAATACTATGAAATTCCATGAAGATATGGATTATTTGATAGACTACCGGATTCTTCTTAACATCGCTATTCATTAACTATTGAACTTCATTTATTTCCCTGCTTTTGGTTCATTTTTTTATATAATTATAATTTTAAACCAGAATTATTATTACAGCATATGAAACGTAATTAAAATATTGAGTTAGCAATAAATAGATAAAACACTTCCTTGACACATAGTAAGTTGGATCATTTATTAAAACTGATTAAAACATTAGTGATTTCACATTAACATTTTGCATATAAAATTACGGATTTTATTAAAAAAAATATGGATGATTTTCGCGTCTTTAGAAAATTTAGGAAATGGTTGCGTCTTTAGGAAATTAATTCTTATTTTATTATATAATATTTATTAATAAAAAACCACAGACTTTGACTAAAACCATTAAAGCCTTTCAAAGAGCAAAGAGCAAAAGATTCATTTTCACAGTAAAGTCTTCTTTTTATCAATATTGCCAATATTGTTTACACGCTCTTCCAGAGATGTATTCAAAAGTATCATTCAGGAAAAATAATTAAGAAGTCTGCTTGTTTATTTGTTTTTTTTTCTGGCAAACATTTATTGAGTAGCGTGTTTCTGTTTGCGCAATTTTTGCCTTCAAAAGAGGTTCACAAAAATTATTGTTTTTTAATTTACAAATGACGACCACGCTCTTTTGAGTTGCTTCTTTCTCTCTCCAAAAGAATATGTATTATGATAATGAAGAATGAACACATTTTTCTTTTCTGGTAGATTTTATAAACCGGTCGGTTAATTTTTAAAATTGTTTACTATTTTTAAATCCAATGAGTTACTATTGTTGTTGTTGATGTTTATTTTTTTATTTGTGGGCGCATTTCATTTTTTATTTTTCCGCTGCAGAAAACGTTTCTTGTGGATAATGAGGAAAATTGATGCATTATATTAAATTTCCCAGCGTAAAAAGTCATTGTTGGGAAAGTCCACTTCTTTCGCTGTGTAAAAGTAGTTTGGGCGACGGTCCAAAAACTAAAACCCAATGCTACGTTTTGCACGCTCATAAAATCAATACGAGAGGACAAACAGTGACAATTCTTTTAACTGCAAAGCAAAAAAATGTTGAGAGAAGGAAGGAAATAAAGAAGAAGACCTGCAGAGAAGCCAAAATATAAATCCTCTGAAGACGCGGGGGAGTGAAAAAAGTAGATGGAAAGAAGAAAAATGTTCACTTCAACTTCATAAGTCAACATTCAATATCAATGCTCTACAATTATAAGTGCGAATACGTCGATTTACATGTTGGAAATTTGAATTCATCACAAAATTTACTAAATTTTAGCCAACATTTGAGAGATAAAAATGTGTGTATTGTAATTTAGACAATCTGGGCCTTTTATAAAAATTTATAAAAATCTGGAGAGAAAACATATTTACGATTTTGAGACTGCTTTTTAATGAAAGAATATCAATGATTTAATTTTAACAAGTAGATAATTAAATTAAAAACAGGACCAAAATATTATAAATAATTAAATTTGTTCAAGGTTTGGAGAGTAATAAAAACTTTTTAAGCTTTGGTCAAAAAGTTTGATTTTTTGACGCAGACGTATAAAATAAATTCAACATAAAAATTGATGAAAAATGCATATGTCATGCTTAAATTGAACTTTGGCAAAATATCCTTGCCAAGGCAAACAGCAGTAAAAAGAAAATCGTGACTCACCTAAGACTCGCTACCGGCGGCGTCGCGTACGGCACTCCGAGAAAGGCCTCGACCTCCCTGGGGGCTTTGGCCCGGGTCGTGAGCGTAATGACGCCTCGCAAGTGTCCGTAGCGGGTGCGAACGAGTCTGGTGCTGTAGCGGCCGCCGCCCGGCGCCGCGACGCCGTCGTCGGCGCCGCCTCCACCGGCCCCCGACACCGTGAGGGCGCCCACCACGAGGAGGAGGCCGAGCGCCGCCTGAAACCCTTCCACTCGCATCCTCTAAGACTCATCGCCCTCCAGCATTAAGTGCGTGAAAATTATTGCGAACTTTATTACTCCGGCTGCAAAAATCTTCCTCGGACCGTAAACATCTCCCTGCAGCGTGTTCTTATTATTATTAGGCCGTAATAATAAACAAGTCCGTCTTTGGTGCAATATAACGTCCGGTTAGTAGGTTGTAAAAAAACGGAGCTGCTTTTTCTTCTTCAAACAATTTGTCCTCCTCGCTGGGAAATATTAAAAGAGCAGAAGGGGTTGGTTGAGGCGCGAAGGGTCATGAACTCCAACATGGCGCCATTATGCTGCATTTTGCCCGCGTGGTTTTCCTCTCCAGACAGACCGATCTCTGCTTCCTCTTTTCTAAATGGCGTCTGTTCAATTTTGCATCGGGTCGGCGAGGGTGGCTGCGGCAGCGGCGGCGGCGTCCTCCTTTTTGTCTGCGGCGCGAGAGGTGTTTACGAACACCTGGGGACACATAACTCTAAACGCGGCGGCTGAATTTTTTAACAAGTGGCACTGCTACTTGGAAGGAGTTTGTGTTTGTGTGTCACTGTGTGCACCTAGTCCACCACGCTCCAGTTAGCCGCAAAGCAAAAACGGCGGCTGCACCACCAACGGCAGGCACATGACCCCAACGGTGCTGCGATCTCGACTGCGCCGCTCGGCTCGCGCGCCAGCCAGGCAGCCCTCGATGTGCCTGCGCCGCTCTCGCAGCATCTGCGCTGCTGCTGCTGCTGCTGCTATGCCGTAGCAGGAAGTGCAGATTTCATCCCTACAAAGAGAGGCCTGTACGCACCACCCGACCGACCGCGCCTACTTCTTTCTTTTCCCTCCTAATTCCGCGCTCTTTTTCCTTTTTCCTGTCTCTCCCTCTCTGGCAGCTATTTTTCCGCTGTGACGTTTTGCCACCCACTTTTCTCCATGCCTAAATGTCACGCAGTTTAAACTTTATCGCCGGCAGACTAGAGAGACAGAGGTCTCTCTTTTCCTCGACAAAATCAGCCATTCGTCATCACGACGCAATCATGCTCGCCAACAGTTTTTTGCTCGTCGAGTTGGTGGACACGTGGGTCTGGTGGAGAACAGTGCAAAATAATTTTATATATGAAAATTTACTTTTTTTATTTAAATAGAAGCGTGTTTTTTATTTAATTTAGAGCTGATTTTTGCTTTCTGGAAACCTTCTTCAAACGTCTGAATATTCTAAAAATTAAATTGATATAGTCAAGGTTTTGTGTTGCAGAATTAAAAACTCATAATTGCTAGTAAAAAAATAAAATGTTAGCATTTTAATAAGGTTATGTGTTACTTTGTAATACAAAATGCCAAAAAAATGACATGTATGAAGAAGTTAAAGCCTTTTACAATACTTCAACATATACGCACCTTTTCCTTGCATTAGTAGCAAAATGATTAAAATCTTCTTCATTAAAAAAAATCGACTTTTTCCTATCGGTTAAATAATTCAAAAGAGGCAAAATGCGTGATCAACAAAATGATTATGTCAGGTACGTTTAAAAACAGAAAGAAAAAAATTTCTCATTAAAAATCAATGTCTGCGAAGTTTGCCAACAGAAATCGCATTGAATATTATAATATTTCCCTCATTTCATTGGTACTTGCTGCTGAAAAATTATTTGTTTTAATTTGTCTACATACTGTCGTCCATTTCTTATTTTCCCGATGATTGTGAAAATAAAAATTAATTTTCATTTAATGTATTTATCTAGATCTATAATGAATGCTTTATGCTGTATATAACAGGTTGAAAGTTAAACATCATGCCATTAATTAATTACGATTTTATTGGAATATAATTTTAATTAATTTGAACTTATAACTAATTTGTGTTTACCTCATTCCTATTGACAATATGCATCATTAATATTCGGAAACCAACTTGTAAATTTCAACAGACCTTGCGTATTTATTCCGTTGCTTATTACGAGTTTCATAATGAATATTAATGAGCTACCGCCTCTCTCGCTCCTCGAGCCAAAAGCCGCAAGTCTGCTGATTGCCTCGCTTTCTCTCTCACTTGTAATACAGCAATTGGAGTAAATTTCGCTGCGTGACACCGTGGCAGGGGAGCTCGAAGGCGGATTACACGGAGAAATAGTGCGCACGCGGCGCGAGGTGCACACACATACGTCAAACTGTATTTCTCATATAGGGGCAAAAATATTTCAACGGGCTGAAGACGTACGTGGTAGACACTTATGGAGCACACCATAAATCTTGCCAACGAGGAGCGAGGGAGGGGGGAGTTCTCTCTCTCTTTGCGCCCTTAAATTTCGACAAAGGCACGAGGGGGCTCAAATTTGAATACAGACTTCTGATGCAAACAACCACATTCATTTTTTATAAAGAAACCCAACAAAAATTGGAAACAATTCTTGATACTAAAACCAATTGACTCTCATTTTAAGTTTGTCTCCCATAGTAATTGAAATGTAAATGACAACTAGGTTAATAAAAACAAATTGAAATTTACATTGAGGGACAAAACGAACTGGATAATCAAAGTTTTAAAAAAAAAACCTGAATATAATTACCTCATGGTTTCGTTAAAAGTCATTTTATTGCCTTCCTTCCTTCTTTATTTTAAGTGAAAATGGACTAAAAGCTCCTTCTTGCCTCGGAGACGTACGACGATTCGGAAATTGAATCAGCCGCAATTTTCGTTTTCCTCCACGTTTTATCATTACATCGGATGAAAATCTGCTTTTGTTGGGTAGATACCGGTGGAGCAAGGAAATTGTTTTATTCAAGCGACATCAAAAGCATAAAGAAAGACAACAATTTCCTCTAAAAATCGCAAAGGAGAGAGGGTGTGTTTTTCAATCGACTTTCAAGGAAGGTATTTCTTTGTTGCAGCACAATTCGAACCGAACACAGAAAGAGAGATGATGAGAATAAGCAAGCGAGCAAGTGGTGGCGGCGGCGGCGGCTGAATGGAGGTGGGTTGGAGGCGGGCGGGTTTTCATCCCCTGGCTGGCTGCGAGGTTAGATTATTGCGGCATGCAAAGAGGGCCTTTATAAAAATACTCGGCCGTCATAAATAAGAAAAACAAAAGCGGAGGAGGAATGTGTATAACAGGGTCGCGGCGGCGGCGGCGGCGGCGGCGGCGGTGATGCTGCTGCTGCTGCTTTTGGATGCTGTGTGGATACGTTACGTAGGCGGTGGTGGTGGTGGGAGAGTGTAGTTAGTGGAGAACGCGACGGCGAGTGAGTGAGGATCGATAAAGTGAAGCCCGGGGGTTTAGAGCGTGGTGGTAGCGAGAGGAGAGCGAGAGAGAGAGATGCTGAGGGGTTTGCAGACTCTCTATGTGTGTATCAAGCGAGCAGATCTCTCGTTCTAGTTTCAGGGATGGAGCATGAAGATGAGAGAGAGAAAGAGGTCCCTCTCACTTTGGTGTCTGTTCCACTGACAGTGCCACCACTGGCACCATCCCCTGCAGGCAGCACCAACCCCCTCCGTCGACGTCAAGAAAGAAGGGGATGTTTTTTTATAAAAGAAGTAGCGTGATAAAATGAAGAGATGAGTTTTAAATAATAATACTCTGCAATTAACACCCCGAGGATGAATCTAATTACGGCTGTCGGCAGCTTTGTGCACAGGTCTTTATATTTGAGTGAAAGGGAATTATGCAAATGAGGGTTGAACCAAGAAGTATTTTAGGTGATTAATTTATTGTGATCTGTTGAAATAAGCTGTAAGCTCAAATAATCCTAAATAAGATGTGCTAAAAATAATAACGTTTGTTATTTAACATCAACAAAATTTAAATTGATTTACACTTAGAACATACAAAACGTAAGATATTTTATTTCACAAGCTACTTTCGTACAATGAAATAAAGCGAATGAATATGCATGAGTCCATTATTGTATGTCAGATAAAAATCATTATTAAACTTTCACAAAGACCTGGGAAAATAAAAAGCTAAAGAGCAATTTCCCTAGCACAAGATCTTAAAGTGTTTGGCTCTAAAATCAATCTTAACTTGGAAACGATATCCAGACAAAAGGAAGTAAAACATAGAACGGCTTTCAAAGACATGGAAATCTGATCTCTCTGATAGAGTAAAATCTTAACTAAACTCTAGAAAAGTTATTCTCTTTGATAGTAAAAGTTGTACCTCTTCAAACGCGATTGCTTTGAAAAATTTATCTCAGTTTTCTAGTTGATATAGAATTGTCTGGAGATCCTTACTTTGTTTTAAACATTTTAAACGCTTTTTAGTTAAAAACTAAAACCGAGGCACACTGCGGCGGATGGGCTCTTTTTTATCTCGGAAGTTTTAGCAAAATTTGCTAGTGGTGGTGCAAATTTTTCCGAAAATTCTTTTTTTTTTCAAATAAATTGCTTATAAAAATTTAATGCACTCAATGCGATGTAATAATTTGGACAAATTAACAATAATAATTAACAATGGTTATGGACATATTTTTGGAAACATCATATTTTTGACCTTATTTTCGGCAAGAAATGTTTTGAGCCACTTTTTATCATGAAATGGTCTTAATATTAAGTGTATTGTAAATTTACGATTAATAATTCTTCTCCTAGAATTTTAATTGCCCTACTGATTTTCTAGATATATGTTAGAGTTTCTCAGTCATTAATTTCAACGAGGTATGTATTTAATTTAAGAATTTTTTTTATTAAAATATGCATCTAAAAGGGGGAAAACGATTCCTCTACTCATTCAATGGTTAAAAATAAACATTCTATGGAAAAAGTGATTTTCTTCTACTCAAAATGATTTTCTTCCTATCTGTGTAAGATTATTTTTAATTTTACAATTTAATTAAAAAACACGAAGATATAATTGCAAAATACATAATACTTTTCTGACATCACAAACTGCTGCAAAAAATTCAAACGTCACAGGCAGATAAATCATTAAAATAAATATGCAGTATTCCAGGCAGCTCTTTTTTCCACAAAACATTCAATTTTTTGGTAGAGGTTGCATCCAATATAATTTATATCTCGTGTTGTGTGGGTTTATTTATCCAATATTATAGAAATGGGAGCGTGGAAAGGAAACAAGAATGTAATTTGATTGCCACATAGCTTGCTAGAGAGAGGAGCTCGTAATAACAAGCTGCCGCTCACTTTTATTTCATAGGTGGTGCAGCGCGTCGGTCGGTTATTGTTGTTGCTCAGCTGTTATTATTGTTATCGCGCGAGATTGCTGTTGTTGCGTGTGTGTGCTCGCGAAAAAAAAGTGGTGTGCTACCTGCGCGCTGGTGTATGAATAGGGAGGGCGCTCCGGATTTGAGCAATAAAAATCGGTGGCCTCGCGCGAGCACCGGAGTGAATCAAATGAATGGAGCCCAAGTCGGGGCCGCTCGAGGGACGTGGGCGGGCGGGACGGGTTTATCGCTAAGGTTGCAGCAGCTCTGCTTCTTTGCGAGGAGGAAAAGAAGCAGGAGGCCAAGTGAATGGCGTGAGGGATCGCTCGTATCAGCTTCCTGTTTTGGATTATGTTTCGCCTCGTCAAAGAACAGCCAGCGCCGGAACGATGCCAGCAAAGAAAGTCGGTCAGATATATTAACCGGTCGCATTTCAGAACACACAAAAACACCCTATGGTGCAAAAAAATTTATTTAGGGAAGTTAAAATCAAATCA